AACTACCGTTATATAACATATATGCGTATATTCTAGGACTATATCACGGCATTTGATAAACTATAAAAAAAAATCATTGCGAGCACATTCAGGACAAAAGAAATGATAAAGGAAATCTGATACGCACACAACAAAAAATACCTATACAAGAATAAATTAAGTAGAGGCGTGCTACTTTCAGATAAAATCTGAGACAAGATGATCACAAGTGTCCAGTTTAAAGGCATTGACTGTACAGTATCACACATAGATTATATAAACAAAAACAAAATCAAACAAATGTCTTTTAAAGCCACTGCCTTTAATGACTGCGTAAATAATTCCCGAATAAATGTTTTCCTCCGATAACACTTCGATTACTCGAACTACTACTACTTGTAGATAAAGGCCGGTTTCACTCTCTCCATTCTGATATTTATAACCCGCAAATTTCAATTAGTTCGTTGTCAATTGCTGTATGACACTGAGAACTTTGTCATGGACACGTCGTATACAGCTTACAATAAATCAGAACTATACCTTAAACAAAACACAATATTAGTACAGTGCACATTTACGGAAGCTCAGAGAACGTGCATATGTTATACTTAAATCATTGTCGAATTTGATCGTACAACACACCAGAATTTCGATTTTGAAATCAGGACATGATTGATTTTCACTACATCAGACATATGTCATTCCTTATATACCACGTAGGCATTAAGTTATGTCATAGCTAGATATGACATAAGGAAATACATGTCGGAGGGGGGTAGCAATGATTGTTTGACATAGGAGAGTAGAGGGGAAGTGGGAGATTAGTAATATATTTGTCAAAAAAACATCAAATGAATGAATGAATAAATAAAAACAAATCATGGCAAAAACAATATTAGTATGTTGAAAATCAAGACTTTGACAACTTATAGAGTAGGATGTAATGTGTAACCCGAATACTAATACAGGAGAATACATATAACCCGAGCTGTTTAAACTAATACAAGATAATAAATATATATATGAACTGTTTAAACTTATCGCACTTAACTCAGTTAATCCAATTTTTATTTTAGCACATGAGAAACAATTTCACAGTTTCAATAAATTTAGTATTATGAAAACTATTTTGCATGTTTTGTTTTGTGCTTACACAAAATTCTTTAATTTCGGAGCTATTAATTAGAACAATAATGGAAAGAGTAAACACTTTGATAGTGAAAATAATGCAGAAACCGTGTACCAATCAGAGCACAGTACGTTAATTAATTATGCGCGGAATATGCTCAATTTCTAACTTAGCCACAGTTTTCATATAGTGTACATACACACCAGGGCCGGTTTTTATGATCACGCTTGGATTCTGTGCTCATGTGACGGTCAAAAAATCAGGTGCAATACATTTTGCGTGGATTATGCCCAAGTTCGGAATTAATTTCAATCGGGCGGATCGGTCGAGTGGTTAACACTCCGGCCTTCCAAGCAGGCGGCCGGGGTTCGATCCCCGAAGTCGCCGTACGCATTGAATATTAGAGAAAGTGTTTTGCTCCTGCCCACACAACTCCAACAACCCAGGTGGAGTATAAAATGGTCTGGGGTGGGTGTTGCGGTATCTGTGCTTTAGCATTCAAGTAAGGTGGCACTATAAATGATACCGTTGGAAGCACGGTTCCACTACAAACAGAACACAATACATCTCCAGCACACACGCAGGCATACATTCATAGGGAGATATTAGCCAGATGGCATAGGGCTAGTAGTTAGCGCCTGATAAGGCAGCTCCTGCGAATTCCTCAATATTGTATTGTTTAATATATATGCTAATTGTATCGACTGTAAAACATTGTATATCTATGTACTGTAAAGCGCTTTAGAGATGCTTATGATAGCTAGGTAGGGCGCTATATCAAATGTTGTATATTATTCTAATGGATTATATGTAAATGCATGCCAAGTTTCATTATAAAAGCAAACTATCTTGCGGAAATTATAGTGTGGACGGACGGACAAATGGACGCTCTGCATACCATTACACGTCCCGTCAAACTTTTGTCGGGCGTATACAAAGTCGATAAAAAGTCGTCTGAACAAGATAAAATCGTACGAACGAGATAAAACGTCAAAAAGTAAATTGACAAGCGTGACCTTTACAGTTATTTGACTGCTTTTTTGACAACAAACTGTGGTAGATCGCATTGGTCCAAAATTGTCAACCCAAGTCAAAAGACATGTTAACAGAGAGCGTTCTCTATTGTTCTTAATGTTTTTATATCATTGTCAAGATTACATGCAGAAATATGCAAATGTTTCATCTATTTTTACCTAGATTTAAAGGTTTATAACATTAGTATTTATCTAACGTTCTGGGGGAAAAATAAGCCTGCTGTATCTTACTGCGTGATCCTAAAGGTCAGTTAATGAGGGACCTCCCTGCAAAATCGGTGATGTTGTTTTCATAGTCCTCTATTAAGGGTTCATTGAAGAAATCAAGGATAAACCTGCTGTTCTAACTGCAATTGTATCGTAAAAGGCGGCTAATGTGGCCCCCTGCATAATCGGAGTTTTTGTTACGTGTTTTCTACGATTGTGACTTAAACAGACCAAATTTGATCAACAAACAAAATTATCGATAACACTCTATGTAATAATTACCCGCCAGGTGCATGGTATTATATCGTTATCTCGCCTTACACGAATCTCGTCGGAGTTGTCTCGCCTTTCACCACCCCGACAGTTTCAAAAGACCAGTATTTTTATTTAAATAATTCAAAAATAGATATAAGCTTGCACAACAGTTTAAATGTCAACAAGCTCAATTAAAAGATGCCATGTACATGTATCAGTTAAATTTGGATGTTTAATCACTCAGTTGCGTTATTATAGTTCTTCATTTCATTCTGACCATACTGGTTTTGGGTGTGTAATTGAGAAAAGTAAAAGTATTTGACTGTCGCTGTTTTCTGTTGACAAACAAATCCCATAATCGGCCACAGTCTTTTATGGATATAACTTAGTGATGTGTAACCTCAAAAGGTCATACATTAGAGTTAAAGGTCAAAAACATGTTACAATAACCATGAGACACAATGTAATACTGCATAGTTGTTAATTTTCGCAGTGTTAAAATTCCGCAATTTTGTGTTCGAAACTTACTCGCGAGGGATTAATTTCGAGATTCACATTTTAATTATATTTCAGTACATCTCGCAAGTAGTTCTTGAACTGTACAAAGAAATGCTGAAAAGGCTTTCTCACTTGCATAGATTTAAACTCTTCACATTTCTGTTTTCTTCTCAAGCTAATATGTGATAGCTTACTTATCAGTGCCATTCGGGGATAATAGTAAACTTGCATGGTTTCGTTGTGACTCACAATATATTTGACTGAGGGATTTATCTACTGTGTATGACTGTTTATTTTCTTTCCAATTCATCTGTTTACGTTCTTATATAATGTACTTGTTTTAAAACGAGGCTGACCAAGTAGCCTCAGCTCAACTGACATTACGGACGTGTGAAGTGTAGGTGTTATGGCGACAATCACAATGTATATGAAGGCATTCGCGAAATTAGAGAAATTAAAACCCTGGTGAATTATAACAACTATACAGTAGTTACCAGCAGATGTTCAGGTCACCTGAGCTTTGCTAAAGTGATCTATTCTGATCTATTTTCGTCCGTCGTGCGACGTGCGTAAACTTTTTTACATTTTCGACTTCTTCTCAAGAACCAGCGGATTGTTTTACAAAACTTGGTCAGAGTCATTCTTGGTAGATGAGGCTACAACATTGTAAAATTGTGATTCCTACCCTGACACCTGGGGCCAAGGCGGGGCCCCAAAGAGAAAATAAACCAATATTTCACAACATTCTTCTTATTCAGACTCGGAGGTACTACAGTAATTTTCTCAGCTTGGATGGAAAGATCATCAGGCGCTTTATTAACATTGTAAAGTTCAGGACCCCCGAGCCATCCGTTCTTCCTCGGGGCCGGGATAACGTTTACTATAGTTTATATAGGGAAATGACACTTTTGGGTATGTTTTGACAATTATTAGGAAATTATTCTTACTTGGTGAGAATCATCCTTGGAGGAAGATGGCATCAAAATAAGAAATTAGGATTTCTACCCCAACCCCAGGGGCCAGGGCGGGGCCCAAAAGGGAAAATTAACCAATATTTCAAAAATCTTCTTATCCAGACTCAGCGGTACTATGTACAGTCAATTTCTATTCATGGAAAGTATAAATTTCAGTATCCCTGGGCTATCTGTTTACCCTTGGGGAGGGAGTAAAGTTTACTTTAGTATATATATAGGGAAATGACACTTTTGGATATATTTTGACAATTTTCTGTAGTTAATTATATTTACTTGTTGAGAATCATCCTTGGAGGAATATGGTTTTCAAATTGTAAAATTGGAATTCCTACCCCAACACTAGGGGACAGGGCGGGGCCCCAAGGGGAAAATTAGCCAATATTTCAAAAATCTTCTCCTCAAGACACCGAAGAAATATAGTCAATTTCTGTGCATGGAATGAAAAATCATCAGGGGCTTTATTTAAATTGTTAATTTCAGGACCCACGGGCCATCCGTTCTCCCTTGGGGAGGGGGTAAAGTTTACTATAGTTTATATAGGAAAATAACACTTTTGGGTATATTTTGACAATTTTCTGTAGGAAATTAACTTGGCCCCTTGTATAACGTAAAACCAACGTATGCATGTACGAACCTACGTTAGGTTTCGCCACCCTGGCAGGTTTGCATATATTGTTTTTCATATTAAAACTAATAACCTCCACCATACCGTACACATAATATGCATATGGAAATATTGTTTTCATTTTAAGTTCATGATTATAGTTTCTTTAAGTTTTGAAACGCATGTAACTACAAAGGAAATGTTTCAATTGACATAGTTCACAAAGGTGAGAGATGTTATGATGTGTGAATAAATATTAGCCAATCACTGCAGCGGTTATATGTTCGTTTTTTACAGAGAGGATATATGTTGGTCATTCAAGATATTTTATTTTTGATTTCAAGTAAGAGGTCTGGTAAATGACATATTCCAATATCGAGTGAATATTCATAGATCAGATCAGGGAATCGGTAAAATACATAGTCTGCATAATAAGGCGCTATGTTACAATATAAGTTGGACCATCAATGCTCTGTATACGTGTTCATATATAGGTGTTTAACACAGCTTCAGATTTATAAGCAAACCTTTGATCAATTTTCCTTTTTTTTATATATAGTATATTTTCAGAATAAATGCTATAAATAGTTACCGATTATATTTTTCAGGATACTATTTTAATGTCGCAATTCGAGGAACTTCAATTTACGAGTTTGCACCTCTGTCAATTACTCAAAATTCAGCATTGAAGTCGGATACACAAGTGTCTGCTGCGATGTGTCCTTTTATGTTAAGGGCACTGGTAGTTGTTTCCCTTCTGTTAATACTGCACGAAAACGTCTAAGCCCTGAAAATAGATGCCCTTGGATAAAACAGTCGTACTTATATATCATTACCGACATGTAATATTCCATTTTATCACATAATGTACTGTGTTATCTAATGAATATACTCATGTCATAATTCTTTGAGTAGTAATCTATGAACAAGAACATGACGTAACAGACTTACGCACTGGAGCAATAAAGGCGGCTTTTGAAATTTCAAGGTTGCATGAAAATTGTCGTTTTACACGATTTATGCCACAAATCCTGATATTATGTGATAAAGGGATCTTAAATTTGTTTCCATTTCATATAAAATTCATGAAACTCATCACGATTTTTTCATTTTAGTTCGCCAGAGGCTCGCTAAATTGAAAAATTCTTAGACTCGTTTCATAAATCTCATATGTAATGGAAACTCATGTAAGATCCGTTATGTATATTGTGAAAAGAAACTATCACTTCCCGATTGTATTCACTTACTTATATAGCATTTTTGTTCCAGGTCAAATAATTTTCAAAGTTGCAAGCATTTATTTGGAGATTTGTTCAAATATTAAATGCCATCTATATGTATCATCTACCGAATATCATCGAAATATATATAGTTTAAATATACATGTATAATATGACTAATATATTTCACTTCTGAACTATGTAAAACGTGAATATTTAATAAGGACGGTTCAGGCGAAGGGAGATATTTCATTGACAACAAGTAGATTGATGTATCTTTATATCTTCTCGGAGTTGATATTAGACACGTAACCATTGTAAAGGTTACTGATATTGCTTCTGATAAAGTTTTAACTAAGGACACTCAATATTTCTTAGAATGTAATACATTTCTTTTTTGGCTACTTATCTTTCCAACCAATTTTAAGCAATTGCTGATTTTTTGTCGCTTAGTTTGTCTAAATAATTAACATAAGGACCTAAATTTACTGTGAATAAGTAATTATGTTCGCTTCAAACTATACTAACGACTACATGAGTCAAACGTTTGTGTATTTTTATCACCTAATACGTATATAGTTTATGACATTCATGTGTCAAATTCTTTGATGAAGAAAACATAACCATGCAATCAAATATCATATTTTACATATGAAGTATCTATGAATCGACACATCTATATTCAAACATATACCTTCTTTGACATGTAGTTTCGGATAAGTGTAACTCAGTCGAAACCAGCCTGGAATCTGACAAAACATTTCCGTTCCGGGACAAATGTATAGACCAGCATCCATAAACTTGTTGAACAGTTTGATTTCCTCCTCTCTCGTACGTTCCTTTAGAAACTGACAAGATAAAACAAAAAACAATGTTAGAAGAAAACAAGTATGATACATTCGTTGGGTCGGCTTCCTTCAAGGTCTTCTACTGTTCATTTTTGCAACGGAACCCGTATTAAATATCTATGTCCTATCGTATCAAACAATGTGACACAATAGATGGCCACTGTACCAATGACTAATAGCATGTCACTTCCAACTTATGCTGTAAAGAAATTTTAAAAAAATGCATTAAATATTCAACTTGTGCACTCCAATAATTCTAACTCAAAGTGATACTGATTGATAAGAGAACCGAGGAGAACAAAGCTAAAGGACAAACATCGTAGAACCAACTCCTTCTACAGAGTAGGCGTTTCTTTTATGCGTCCCTCCTGACGACTCACGTCAAACCTTAAGAAATGTTTGAAACGCCACAGATCAAGAAAAAGTGAGCAAAGCTTTTATCCTCAGATACACTGGATGGCATACAATCCATTGTTTCTAAACCACAGTCGAAAGAAGCGAGAGTGCGTAAACCCCTGACACATTTAAGTTTTATACAAAACCTTTGGTTTGTTTCAAATTATAAACGACAAAAGTGTGCATATAATGAACCGTGTCATCACTGAAATGACATAAGTGTTGCTATTTATAAATGTAGGTCATGGCAAACCTCGCGAAATCCACCTGCAGAGCCTACCCCTTGTATCTGGGAGGGACCCTGTTATTATTTATTTTATAACAAACAACCGATTTTACTGTTTCTGCTGGGCTTAATGTTACATTTGAGAGTATAGGTTTCTGTTAATAAATAAAAACCAAGCTAACAAATAGCAAAGCACTGGTCCGTCTTTAAATATTAATAAGATATGCCAACGTTGACTACCTGGGATAAATCCATCCAGATAAATATCACGTTTCGACAGTTGTACGCTGTAGGAATATTCAACTCATCCAGTACATCTTTCACAAGTTTATGATTTTCCTTCGCTCTGTTGTAATAGGTAGGGAAGTATGTCTTGTCGAGCCATTCTGCAATATATATACCCAACTGATTAAATACATGAAATGGCAGTTACAAATGTATTGTTACGTTTGTGTTTAATCAAATAGCAATGTAGTCACCGTGTATCATGCAATTCCAACTATGTTAAAAAGTAACAATACAAAATATCTAAGAACGTTGTTTTCTAAGTATCAGTTTTGTATTTTAAACTTATATAGGTTGCTTCTCATGTTGGTACGGAGTATATGCCACTAAAATCAATCAGGAGGACTTTTAGATAACAGACTTCTAATATGTATCGAATATGAAGTACCTGTATCGGACAGAAATCCATTGATTAGCACTTGTGTAGGGGCTGGTATAGCACAGAACATCGCGATCTTCTGTAAGTGACCAATGATTCTGACGTCATGGGAATACACAACACCACATCGAAATCCCGAGAGTCCGAAATCCTTCAAAAACAGGAACAAAATTATAAATCAGATTCACGGTTTGTTTTTGTTCCGATATTGTAATGAATGACCGAAATAAAGAGTTGTGGTTTATGATAGTAGACTATTTATTTGGTTTTAAACATTTATTATAAAATGAGCAACGTCAAAAGTTTTGTACATAAAAGATATGTTGAATTATCCTAATTAATCAAATGAATATTCTGTGAGATAATGAAGTGCAAAACTATAAATATTAATATTTTTTCAAAATTACCTTACTAAAACCCCAGATGAAATGAGTCTTGTCTGGGTCAGGAATGCTCATAGACAAGACACTTGTGAAACAGCCTTGACCTTGTGTCGACAAAGCATATATTTCATCACATATAATGTGGAGGTCCTCTCTATAAATATACGAAATAAGGACTTGCAATTATTTATCAAAATTTAGAGGGAGTTAAGAAAGTACTTGAGAAAATAATGATAATTGTAAAGTGATTACCGTTTGCAGAACTCCATCACCTCAGCAAGTTCTTGCTTGGTATAAACCTTACCGGTAGGGTTATGGGGATTAGTAATGATCACCCCACGGACAGTCAAACCCTAAATCATAAAGGTAGATAGAAAAGTATAAGTAAAGGTAAAATTTAAACATGGGCAATGATGTCATTGATTAATGTTCGTTACATTTTTGGGATGATGAGGTATAAAATTGTAAATAGTACGCTAGGAATGTAACAAAAATTAATGCAGTTTATTATGAAAGATAAAACTGATCAGCAGTTATGTATTTTTAGATAGTATAATAAGATATCGATATTTCCGAAGAATTGCAGCAGACATATACTAGAATAAATTGATACTACATGTATGATGAATTGTTATATTTCAACCTTACGTCTTTTTTTGCTCTTTGCAAATATGATCCCAACAAATCTGTGCGCATTTTACATGGATCATCTGATGATTCTCTCTGAAATAAATAAATATATTGCTATCAATTTAACAATTACATATTTTTCTATGGATAACTCAGCATTCAAATGTTGTAATTAGTTTCCCAGTAACAATACTTTGAAAACATTTTGCTCTATTTTAGGGTATCGTTTTCGCTTCGTCTGTGCCTCGGTGATCGTTCGCATAACATCGTGTGCATGTATCACATCACATCGTCTGTTATGACAATTGTGTTGATTTCCTATCGTACGGCCAGTCACTTTTACGAAATAAGAGAGTAAACGAAACGCAGTGAAAATAGTTTTTGAATAACTAGTTAACTGACATTTGAGCTGTTCTGTATTGAAAACCTATGTAGACATACTGTTTAAGCTGCATAGAATTTCCAAATATTTTAACACGTTTTACGGTCTTGGAACCAAATGCAAATTATATGAGATAATAAAACAGAAAATGACCCCACTCTCCTTTCCTACGTTACACTGAAACTGTCGGTGTAATCCAAATCTGTTACTTTAGTATGTGAAATATGGGATTGAAAAAGGCTAGATTTTTCTACAGTGCAATCTGTGTTTATTGTCTTGTAATTATTGAAATTCAAATATCTTGAATTTTAATGAGGTATTCTCCGTGCGTTTAGTCGACAAGAGTGATACCGTTTCCATACATCGGAAAACAATAGCTTGATTTGAGCTTAATGTTTATAGATCCTGCACGGCTTCGATAAGTGTAATGTTCACTCACATTACCAATACCTTGACCTATTTTAATTCTGTTTGACGACAGAGGTGGACGTACAGAGTAAAAGCGGCCATAAGGAGTAAAAGTCTGCCTCCGGCCCACGGTCCTGGATATATTGTGTCAGTTAGAGTCGTGACTGTACACAAGTAACTGTATGTCACGTTGTTAAGTTAAAATTTACTCTTAGTAATCAAAGTATGTTTATGCGAATAGTAAACAATCTGTATGGAAATGAACTGTAATAAAAAGTATCGATTGATTCCTTTGTGATATCAATCATTCATAAATAATTGCTATATCTATATCTTACACAAACTTGTTTAAAAGGCAATTGCATCGCGCCGTTTACCCTGAAACGTAACGTTGATCGTATCGTGTGGCATCGCCGCTGCAACGTTTCCTTTTCGTTTGGAACCACATGTTTTTTACGGGACTATGTGTGAAGCATTATCTTTAATTTTATATGCAGCACAATTATTTCTACTTTTGTTATTTTGTCACATCAATTTCTTTTGTGCTTGTTTTTCTGTTCTTATTCACTTTTTATTCTATTTATACATTATGCATATACATGTAACTCTTCAATTATGGAGGAATGAAGATGTGAATAAGACTTACATCAAACATTGGGACCTCGTATATATCCACTCCACCTATGTCTAACATGTCATATTTAAGTCTGGTGTACGCCGGGGTAGGGCACAGGAAAACATCTGTCAAAACAACCTTCAATTAGTAATATGTATTGCATGAAATATAAGCGTGTTAAATATGTATTGGTAGCAAACACACCAGCGATTATTTCCCAGTCGCTCCGACTGACTTATTCAACTATGACGTTTTAGGTCAAATACACTATTTTAAAACTTAAAATCATGCATAGTCTCTGTCAAACACTTGTTTCAACATATAAAGGGGTATTGAACACATTTGAGGAATATGGACATATACGCAATGAACTGATCACATATTAGCATACTGATGCAAATGACATATCATGTTAAGTTTATAAAATATATGATAAATCAGCCTCTACTATATACTACCGGCATGTGTTGTCAATATAAGTCAATATGCTTAAATATTATATTATTTTCAAATATGTAGGTAACGTTTGAATAATATTTTGGTCAACAACATGTTTATTGGGCATTGTCAAAGAATAGTTCAACAGACTATTTATATTCTGGTCGGAATTTGTTGGTGCTCAATTTCAATTATATTTACTTGTGTATTTTGATAAAACTGAAAAACCAATAAAGTCTATGTACGAAGCTAGATGATATCCTATAGACTTATTTACCCTCAGACTGTTACTTTCAGATATTGTAATGATGTTTTATCACTCAATAACATGATTTTCGAAAACTATATACAAATATACTGGCAACTAATCTATTCTTCAGAACTTGTTATCATATATGCTGCAGACTCCTTTTCTTCAGATAAATGTCTTGCCATTTTGTATATTTTTCTATGATATATATGACGGTGCCATTAACAATGCAAGAAACGCCAAAAATGGTAATACAGTATAATGACAAGTCTTTGATACAGAAAGGTTTGATATCCTGCAGTTCGTCTTACCTCCAACATCTGCCAGAGTAAACGCCAGTGCGTTCAGTATTGCAGTAACTCCATCCATCAGAACAAGCTGTAAGACAAACGTTTATTATTACAGGCAAGGGTTTATTTCTATAGTTAATACAATAAAGAAGTCACATGAGTGTTTGGATTGCATAAAAACTTTAAATTACATTTTATCGTAAAATAATATTTTAGCTCACCTGGTCCGAAGGACCATGGTGAGCTTATTCCATACCGCAGTGTCCGGCGTCCGTCCGTCCGTCCGTCCGTCCGTCCGTAAACTTTTCCTTTAAAACGCTACTGTAGTTCTGAACGGCCATGTAGATTTTTGTCTAAATTTGGTCTGCAGCATCCTTAGGCCAAGAGGATTCAATTTTGTATAGACGGTGGATGTGGCTCCCCTGGGGCCAGAGGGGTGGTGCCCAATAGGGGAAATAGAGTTAAACCTTAAAAATCCGTCTTCTACCGTAAGGATAAAGGGATTTTATTCTTATTTAGTCTTGAGCATCCTAGGGCCAAGGGCGCTCAATTTTGTATAAACAATGAGTGTAGCTATCTGGGGGCAGAGGAGCGGGACCAATAGGCGAAACATAGCAAATTCTTCAAAATCCTTTTCTGTAAGAACTACAGGATTTTGTCCAAATTTGGTATGAAACACCCTTGGGTGAAGGGGCAGAGAGCTGGGGCCAAATAAGGGATATAGAGGAACGATATGCAGAACTAACAGTTATTTTGACAGTTTCCTCCCTCTAATGTGCCGCACAACTAACACTACTGATAATGATCTCTTAAACTCCCCAACTCTTGCAACCTTTAAACACAAACTGAATAAAGATATAATTATCGATAATGAATCAACATTAATTTTTAAAACTGAAGGTGATAGACGGGCCAATATTATTCTTTGTCAACTTAGAAACTTCTGTAGCAATTTAAATTTTGATTTATTCAATGACCATTTAACTGACTGTCCCTCTTGTGCTTGCTCTTTTGAATATGAAACAGTTTTCCATTATTTTCTTGAATGTCCATTGTATAATGATCTCAGACTTACTTTATTTACTTCTGTTGATAATTATGGAAATCATAACCATATTGATACAAACATTTTTCTACAAGGCTGTCCTGATTGTGATGGACTAACAAACAGACAGTTACTTAATGATGTACAGTTATTTATTGGTAAATCTAGGCGTTTTAATCTCTATATGATCTAACCAGCCATGACCTTATACTTTATACTTTTATACTTTACTATTCCTATTCCAATTATACTCCACAAATAAGTAACTTTACCTACTTTTCTATAAATGTTATTCTTCTACGGACATAGGAGTTTTAAGTTGAGCATGTTTGTTTGTTGTTGTTTGTTGTAAGATTTGTTCAATCTGTCTTGTTTTACAGTTTCCATCTTATACATTGAATTACACATAGACTAGCTATCTATTTTCATATTAAACTACAATACCTTAACAGTTTTGGCGACTGTGACCTGTGCATATATTTGCACATGGACTTTTGGTCAATGTCTGCCAATATCTGTGTGATTTGATAGCTATATAGCTTATATACAATTGTAAAATGTTATAAAAATAAATTATACCTGTGGAATTGTTTTGTGTGTGATGTGAGAAGTGTGAATGTATTTGTATTTCAGTTATGTTAATTAAGAAGGAGTTACATCCCTTTAATATATTTTTTTATAATTTTCATTTCAAAATTGATGTATTAATTAAATCAAATAAAAATAATAGAATCCGTTAATTTAGCCACCGCTGGAGAGAATGTATATAGGCTTTGCCTGTTATTCCATCCAATTGACTTGTCAATACAATTTGTTGAAATGAAAAATAGAGGAACAGCTTTAATATCAATCTTCTTCCGTTAGGATGAAGGTATTTTGACCAAATTTGAACAGCAGCATCCTATTTGGAAGGTAAATCAGTTTTGTATACATGGTGGGTTTGAACCCCCTGGGGCCTGAGAGGCGGGGCCCAATAGGGTAAACATTGCAAAATCTTCAAAATCCTTCTTCTTCTTAAGGAATGACAGGATTTTGATTAAATTTTGGCTGAGGCACCCGTTGGTGAGGGGAAACTAATTTTGTATCAACGTTTGGTCTCACCCACCTTGGGGAAGATGCTTTGATGAAGGGAACATTGTGTATCATCGAGAGCCCCTTTTAACATCAACATCACTTGCCTTTTCCTCTTCAATTTTCACCTTGCTTTTGAAACGTTCCTCAATAAATTGGCTGAAGGTTTTCCTTACGCTTAAATATTAAAAAATGAAATCCAAATCATCATTATGACGAGTGGTAGTTAGATAGCACGGAAATGTTCTCGCTTAAGATAATTAAATTATTGGTTAAAAGAACATCGTACAATAATAATACTTTATTTCTTTCAATTATATGCCAAAGACAGAATTCTTGGAATGCAAACAGCGCTCAGGCATTTGTTACATGAATCGTATTGTCTGCATGTATCTACCAAACTAGGTTTTAACAGATGACGTGCTTTTTAAGAAGAGGTTCAGCAAAGGTAAATCAGAGGTCTAATGTAAGTTAGGATGTTATTCATAATAATGATAGTCATACATATGTGTATATTTGAAATTCAAATATTTTGCGATTTTAAAAATAACAACCTTGGCTAATGCTTTAGATGAAAAAGAGGAATATGAGAACAATAATGTCGCATTTGGCAGTTTGAGGAAATTGTTTTGCAATGAAGCAGGCGAACATATGAGAGTGAAAGTACCAGCTATATACAATCATTTACTAAATTTTGGCAATAAATAAAATAAGACTTTAATGACTACGCCAGAATGACCGTTATATGGGCACTAAGTCACTGTATTCATGTCTAAAAGCATAATGACATACATAAACGAATTATCTATGTCGTTTGTCCCTTGGTATTCAGTACTGTCCTATATCCATTGGTTACATATTACGTCACAGTACCCACATCGAGACAGTACCCTAATCGGGACACGTAAAGGAAAAAGTCGCAAGAAATGTGCATGCTGTGCAAAGAAGTATTTTTATATTAAAAATATTGATTTAAAAATGCTAATTTACCAATAAAACATTATATGAACTTTATTTACTGCCACTTATGGTTACAGTCACAGTTTTAGTTTGTAAATATAATGACGAAAATGTAACGTTCTAAATTGATGCGCCATGCGACGTTATTGATTTTCAATTTTTGTATGTGACTTTTCACAATCCTACTATTTCACAACTAATGGTAGCTCGGAAAAGAAATTCATTCAGAACGACCCTTGACTCTTAAATATTCAACAAATATGCCATGTTCTGCTTAATACTTTTTTCATCTCCAAATATAAGCCTAAACTGGTAGGGGTTTCCGATTTGGGTACAGTTACACTTGTTTCGCGATTACCTAACCACCACTATATGTACAGTTCTATTTATAGAACCACGCGCCGGAAATATCAACTTGTTATCAAAATGAAAAGACACTGATATCTATTTAGGAAAAGTGAAAATAAATTACTGGGATCGGTACTATGGTATGAAAGGCATCAATATTTCACTAAAAGGTGTCCCGATTTGGGTACTTTGACATTAGAGTAACGTAACTTATTGAACATGCATCTGTGCCATGTTCTTAAAAAGTATATAAGGTGATTTGTTTCTAAAACCTTTGTCGGGTCCCTTTTTATTTTATAAAGAATTGCATCCCAAGAGTTTGTATCGTCTTTGTTTAGAGTATAGACATTATCTTATCTTTAATATCTATTTTGTGCGCTTGTCTTTTTTATAAACATAACCAAGTTATACCTCTTATCCCTAGTTATGTTTTTAGTATACCTATTATCTTCATCGTTTATCCATAGTTTATATAGTAAATGTGTTTGTACACCCTTATGATCAATAGATTATATTCAGCGTTATTGTGCAGCTCTGTTTTTGAGTCAGTTATGGTATAAGTAACTTTAACTTACCGGTCCAATCCATGGCATGCGTAATAGTACAGAAAGTCCTGACTGACAAAGTTAGCCGACCCTGATACTTCAGCAATCTGAAACAATAAAATAGTACAGTTCATGTTATCTATTCGCACCCGATCTAGTACGGATGCAAACATATAAACTCGCCTTCATTCACTATACTGTAACTTCTGTCCGGATTTCAAACTATTACTTAATTACATGTTAATCTTTGTGGAACATATCGCTGCCTCCCAAAATACACACACATACACTACACGCATGCATCTTGCACACAGGGGAGGCCGTCCTTAAATGACCTTAGCTGTTAATAGGACGTTAAACAAAATCAAACAAACAAACAAAAAATCTTTGTGAAATATGACATATTCTATTATTGACTAAACATTTGATCTGCTTCCTTTGCTGCTCTGGGGGAAACGTGTGTTATGATCCTGGTAACTTTTCGCTGTATGGAAATTTTTACTTTTTCAGAAGTCCGATGTTAACTTCCAAGACCTACCTTGTTTAACCACAGATCTTCACAGAGCTTGTTTTCAGCTGTCCCGAGGTTGATGTATCCCTTCAAGTGAAATATATCAATCAATAAAATAAGTTTACATGAAATGGATATAATCTGTAATTAATTCGAAATCCATATATAACTATAGTTTAATGTATAACTATTAAAATGATGCAAGCGGTCCAATTTAACTTAAGGTTAGCAAGTCGTTTCCATCTAATATTTCATCTCTAATAAAATACCCGAGAAACAAGGTATTAATGTATATTTAGCATATCAGTGATTTGAACGTTGTGATGATGTTACTGACGCGTGACTAATTATAGATTTCGCCAGTTTTGCAGACCAAATGTAAATATAGCATTTAAATCATTTTGTAGAGTATATGAATACAGTTGTACGTGTATCCGGCAGTAATGAGGAAGCGTATGAAAACCAAATCTACTGCATCATGGTAACGCAGTGGTTATTTAGGAGTGGAATTTTGTTTTGTTTGAAAATCTTCCGTATATACTATGTGTATGCATGTGGGAAAGCAAACGCATACCATAGCGGAACATCTGGACTATCATAACATTTCGCATCGTGGTATCAAAGAATAGGTACCATATTCAGCCGTTTTACAACAACTCATCGAAAAGCATATATTTGTTGTATAATGATATCTTTGGGTCACACGTAAATTGCCATATTTGAAATAAATATCTGGTTGACCTCTTGAGGGATATTGGGGGTTAAGTGAATATAGAGTATACAAAAAAAAAAGCCATAGTAGATAAATGATGACTTAAACACTCCCAACATATGTTACCTGTGGATTTGTGTCAGAATCATAACTGTTGGCCGATACTTTGATGAAGTAGGTTTCAAGGAATTCCCCCTGTACGGCTTTCTGTGCCCTTTTCGAAAGCATTTCTGAAAAAAAAGGATATATTATCAAACTGAAGAAGCAATCACTAAGTATTTTTTAATTAGAAATAGATGTGATAAAAAAACGACATAGTAAAAAGTCAATGGTAATTTAATATAGTTAAACATTTAAACAAAAATGCCTACTTAAATCAAACTTTCCTTTACAAACATACAATAACACACTGAGTTTTGGCTAAACTCTCCTGATAAATTACTTGGATGTATGTGTTTTTTGTTGCGTTTTGATGAGTATTTAGAAGTATTTGATACTGTGAACGTCCTTAAATGACCTAAGCTGTTAATAGAACGTTAAACAAAAATAAACCAAACCAAACTAATGCTGTGATGTATAATCCTGCGACTGATCTACTATTCCGTGTCTTTTTTAAGTCACCGACAAAGAAAATATTTTTAAAATCATTTTATAGCTTTTCAACCAATACAAACACGATGTATATTTGCTAACATGTTGCTTACTAGGAATATAAACACACACGCACACACCTTTCCTGTTTCACTGAATGCTGCATTATTGCGTCATCAGCGGAAACTTGCATGTTTCAGACTTTCATTTGTGTTGTTTGTTGGATAGTTTGTCGGACTGGTTCCGTATTTCCGTATGGGGAGAAGAATATAGATGGAAGGAATGTAGTCTGATTCTGGGTAATATTGGCATTATCAATCTGTGTTTTAACATTTGGTTGACTGTGCTGTCAATATTTTTATAGCTGAAAGTTGATAAGTTTTAATAAATAATAAGACATCAGGCTTTTTGATGAAAAAACCCATTGATATTACATTGTATCTTATATAAATTTAGTGATGATTGTAAAAATATACCATGTAAGAATTATTTAAAAATAAAAAAATAAAAATACATGTATATGTAGTAAGCAGGTGACAATCTTTTAATTATCAAGCTATATTGCCTTCCTTGTGATCATGAAAGGATGTATGCCTATGCGAACGAAGTACATGTACACTGATGATGAAGAGTGGTGTTACCATTATGAGAACACTCCTAAATTTGAAACAAGCTATCCCAACAAAATGTCTGATAATTTATTGTTGAATTATATGGCTGATTTTGACTGCTTTGCATTGAAAATTTTACACTTGAAATCTAATGTTAATGAAATTTGACTATTGTATAATGTATTTAAATTGAGTGATTAGTACATGTAACGGAAATGCAATGTAATGTTGGATTTTACTTCTAAACATGTTATAGTATCTGGGACTAGTTTTTGCTTTGAAATGATAAAGTAAATGTAGATACAATTAATTTGTATTTGTATTTAATCAAGTTATATTTAAAATGTAAGTAAACAGTAAAATTGTTCATGTCTTACATAATAGATATAATGTATAAGTTTGACTTATGGTTTTATTTTTGTATTGTAATAATATGGCGGACTAACTTTAAAACATCAAGTAAGTTTGTATCATGTAAAAGTGCATTGATGAATTCGTAATGTATAGTGCTGCTATATTTATATATGCTATTGATTGACCTGTTTTATTATATTTCTGGTTGTCTAACAGAAACCCTTATTTCCACATGAATCCAAATCGATAGACAATACATTGGCTATTGATTATTATATTATTTATATTTAACCCCATGATTATCATATATTTGATAAATAATAACTTAAACGTTGATATCTCCACTCAAAAAATCCTTATCTTGATATATCGCATGCACAAAAGCTAACACGTAAAGGTTATTGCATAGTTTTCGAGTAATAAGGGATTTTGACTGTCCCGAGTGCCGAGAAATCATGCAATAACTGGCTTACTGCATGCTTGCCAACTCGAACAAAACAGAAAAATTAAGTAAAAAATGTTCACCTGGACAATCTTATTACCTACTCTACACTGCATATAATTTACTTACTGCATACTTCCCACCTCTCACAATGGAAAACTGGTGGCAAAAAAATACTTTCTACCACAGTCCACTGCACACATAATCCCCTTTCATGGCCAATCATGATTACATGACCATGAAAGGGGGTGTGCCAAGTGGACTGTGGTTACAAATGCTGTAAAACAGGGGAGATAATCAATAAGTAAGTAATGATGAAGTCAGTACATTGGAAAGGATAAACTTAGTTGACACACTTAAAATAAGACAAAATAAATAAATAAATAAAGTTAAAAATAGTAATTTCATGATTGAAAAACAAACAATTGTGTTTACGGAGCTGTTTCTTTATACAAGATTGCACATTCAAATATAACAGTCATTGAAAGAACTGGAATTCCTGAGGGATTGATAAACCCTTACATTATATGTATGAAATATCCTGTACCTTTTCCACATCTTGAAAATTAAGCTGAAAATGTAGTCAGAAATTCAACATTGTGTCCCGTATTTTGTTCTAATTGTTGAACAGATACTCCTTACCTTCCCTGACCTTGGAGCTGGAGAGTAATCCACAAGCACTTGTATTCATTATAAAGGATACACTCAGACTGGGCTATTGAGAATAAAGACAAACTTACCTGGTTCTGATTAGTACTCACTAACACAGGTACATGTAAATTATCTGCAGTGTAGGCTAAACAAAATCTGTTTTGTTCGAGTTGGGAAGCATGCAGTAAGCCAGTTATTGCATGATTTCTCGTCACTCGGGACTTATTACCCCCCCTCTTCGCTCGGGTGTAATAAATCCCTTGTTACTCGAAAACCATGCAATAACCTTTACATGTACATTGTACCTGTGAGTGAGTACTAATCAGAACCAGGTAATTTTGTCTTTATTCTCAATAGCCCAGTCTGAGTGTATCCTTCATAATGGATACAAGTGTTTTTGGATTACCTACTATCCAGCTCGAGTATCAGGGAAGGTAAGGAGTGTCTGTTCAACAATTAGAACAAAATACGGGTAACAATGATGAATTTCTGACTATATTTTCAGTTTAATTTTCAAGATGTGGCAAAGGTACAGGATATTGAAACCATTTTCATACATACAATGTAAGGGTTTATCAATCCCTAAGGAATTCTAGTTCTTTCAATGAATAGTATTTTTGAATGTGCATTCTTGTATAAAGAAACAGCTCCTAAGGATTATAAATTTTTCCAGGAAATGATATCCTCTCACGTGATAAGGAAATCAATAACGCTTCCAACTCGGTAAAAAAAAAATGTTTTTCAATCATGAAATTACCATATTTGTTTTCCCTTATTTTAAATGTGTCAACTAAGTTTATACTTTCCACTGTATTGACTTTATCATTACTTACTTATTTATTATCTCCCCTTTCTTACAGCATTTGTGACCACAGTCCACTGGGCACACACCCTTTCATGGACATATAATCATGATGGCCATGAAAGGGGATTTTGTGTGCAATGGACTGTGGTAGCAAGTGATTTATTGCCCACAGTTTGCCATTGTGAGAGGTGGGAAGTATGCAGTTATTGGTATTATGGGCCACTGGTTAACAGATAACACAGGTAAAATCACTCACCATGGTCAAATGTGAGGTTAGTGTGAAACTGGTTATAATTGGTGCCCATTTGTCTTCCTATATCAACACTATTCTTTGTTGTAAAAACGTGTGGGAAACGACAACACCCCGTTTGTCGGGCGTTTACAGTAATCGCGGACCAGAAACAAACGGTTCTTTCCGATTACCTGGAGCATTTTTGTATACATGGTCATCGGAACATTTATTGTATACATGGTCATCGGAACATTTATTGTAAACATGGTCATCGGAACATTTATTGCATACATGGTCATCGGAACATTTATTGTATACATGGTCATCGGAACATTTATTGCAATTGTTGGATATCGCTTTAATATATATTCTCACCTTGATACTTCAGCCTGATTCAGTTATTCGTTATTACCGAAGTATTTGTCACACAAATAGCAGGCTCCTTCATGAACACCGAATTTGCAGCTCTCTGCCCTTGGTATACCTGACCTTCTTCCCAAACAGGCTAGCTTACCGCTTAGAATGCATTGTGTACAGTGATCTGACGGATTATACGCTTGAAAAGGTTAACTAAAATATGCCATACAAACGGTGACCTACCTGTCCGGCAAGTGTCCGCTCATGACTTTATTGTACCGCCCGGGTCACGAGCAATACATTTAATACTTTGGGCTTACTAGTCGAGTATATTATAGAGAAATTACTTCTTTGGAGAGTTTTGACATCGCAGAATATAGTAACGGTATACGTAAACGTGTTGTCACGTTCTGTAAAATATCACACTCATATCTAAATTCTATGGAAAACAAAAACACGACAAACCTTTGATCCACGTTAATCCTCCGTCTCTTCTTATTCTCTACTTCACCTGTTAGCCTTATAAACGTTGAAGAGTTCCACAACTTACATTGCGTGTAGAGACACTTGCTTTCTAAATCGGCCTACGTCTTTTGAACGACTTCTGAAGAAAAACTGGGGGACCTAGGGTCATGATATTTAGCCTGTAGGTACCTGGGATAGAGTGCTATAAACTTTCCTCATTAAAATGGCATTGAACTACTTTCAAGATCACAGGGGTCAAATATGTTAAAAACTTCAAACAACAACATCCTAAGAACCTTTTGGACTTGAGTCATAATACTTGGGTATGTTATATAGAACAGCTATGTAAATATTTGTCTTTGCTACAGTAATGAGGTCAAAGGTCAACTTTAAGTGCTAATCAGGGGTCAAAGTTAATGAGTCTTAAAAGCTTTAACAATTTTGTTCTCAAGTTCCAAAAGGCCTAGGGTCATGCTATTTCGCAAGTACATTTTTGTAGGTACCTGGGATGGAGTGATTTAAATTGCTCTCATTAAAAATACCTTGTCCTACTTTCAATGTCACATTAGTCAAATATGTTCAAAACAATAATATCCTAAGAACCATTTAGACTAGAGTAAGTATACGTGGGTATGCTATGTAGACCAGCTGTGTAAATATTTATCTTTATTACAGTAATGAGGTCAAAGGTCAACTGTAATTGTTAGTCGGGGGTCAAATTTTAAACAACAATATCTTAATAACCGAGATGTTAAAATGTCTTGTGTTATAGTTACCAAATTTGGTCTGAAGTTACCAATATGTCAGTTCCGTGTAAGAAACAGGTGAGCGATTCAGGCCGTATGGGCCTCTTGTTATTATTTTAAAACTAATATTCATAATCTGTATATGAATTTGACTATATTAAGATGAAAATAATAAATATATGTATCATTTTTTTTCATTTTTTTTCATTTTTCAATTCCTTACATTTTATTTATCTATTTTTTATTTGGTTTTCTGTCATTTATTTATAATAATTGATACACTTTTCTATAATTTTGTTACAATTGCCAAGTGATAATCCACGTATTAAGTATAAGTAAACTATCTTACACAATCAAAAATAGTTTTTGTCACTTTCTAAATATCTGTCTAGAACTGTCCGGCATATTTTTTATGCTAATAGTTATGCTGAATGTTTTCATCAAGGTTATTTCCACGACAATTTTCGTTTGGTCGAAGATAAACCTAAGTAGTAGTCATGCTGTCAATCGTGATAGCGCTGGTTCAAATAGATAGACAATGCTTATAATGGCATGAACATTTAGTTGTGGAAATAAATTCAAGACCAATAGAAATAATGGAAATAAGAATGTCTATAACTAAAATATTATCTTGATGTTACTTTGGGTTCTAGAGCAATACTAATTCTGGTGAGCTGTCGATGTAAGGAACGAGTGACTAAAGCGACAAGGACACTACAGTTCACTACTTTCCGTAGTAATTGACTAGTGCTCTTCTAAACAAGACAAACATAAATATTCCTACGCAATGGGTGTAGTCATTGCGCTCTCTCTCTGAATTTTTATTGCTATGTTGATAACATAAAGAATGATTCGGGAGTAACATAAGCATATTCTCGCAGGCACGATAACACATCGGGTTAGGTATGGCAAAAGGCCAATATTTCGGTCATTCCTTGTTTCAGATTCAAGTCATCAAACATGTGTATCTAGAAGATTTGATAGCTCGTTGCTCTTCAGTTAATTATAACTCTCATAGGGGATTATTATGTTCTGTAATATACCATGATACTTTGGAGGACACATTTCCTTGGTGCTTTTAAGGACAATTTCCAATGAAAAAATTAAGGCAAATACCTATTGTGCTTTGGAAGACAATCTTCCATGATGCTTGGGAGGATATTTTCCCCTAGCCTCTGGAGGACAATTACCAACGAAAATTTGAAAGACAATATCCCTTGTTGTTTTGGAAAACACTTTCCTGTTGTGTTTTGGGGATACCTTCCCGTGATGTTCTGGTGCTTTAGTAGGTATATTTAGTGTTTAAAGTCTATTTCAGTGATAATACTGTAAAACTGTAAAACACCCATATAACGTTAGAACAGAAACTCGATTAAAACTGCAAATATCTAGAAATGACGATGTCTATTTGAACCCATTCTTAAAACAATCTATCGATATCTGTCTGTAACAGCTAGTCTAATTGTACAAAACAAATAACGAAGGTGTCAAGAGCTACATTTCGCCACTTCCATAAAAAACTGAATACGGGTGTGTCAGCCGATCCATTTCGTTTTCTCTGAAAACAATTACTTTATATATGGCGACATCGACAATACGCAGGAGACACTTAAAACATGTATTTTGTTCATTTTACAGATTTGAAGATATATACAAGATCAGATGTTAAATATTATAGACAGAGCGGCGACAGTGCGTTTCACGAACGTTTCTGGTGACGCTAATTTCTAGAATGGAGACATCTGAACTGCCCTCACGAGAATACAGTGTTTCCTTTAATAACTGATAGAGTTATTAGTTGTTCTTGATATAGTCAATGTAAAAAATCTGACCCAGTCGCTTACTGATACTGAGCTATTTCTTTTCATTGTTTCGTTAAGGAACTACATGTAGAAGCATTTTCACAGATTCAATTATTCGAACACCGGACGCTCACAGAAATACTTCCTGGCCTACTTTTACATGTGTATTACCATCTTCACTAAAGTGTCGATCAAATTGACGGTGTCTAAACCCTCACAAATGGTAGTTATTATGTATGTTCATGATCAATAACAAACCCGACAAGATGGTGGCTCAACATGTGCTAGTTATATATCCCATAATAGTATATGTATACAATCAGAAACGGGTTTATCCGGAATGGTTGCATACATTACAGTAGTGATAATGCATGTCTCTTGATTATTCGCCTTATTTTTATGTATTCCGTCATTCTCTCTTCTTATGCAGTTACCTGTCCTTCTTTCTATTCTTTTCTCCCTCGTCATACTAGTCCCCTTTAACATTTCCGGTTTAGTGTGACGCACTTACATGTTCATTCTGGGATAGATTTCGTCTCGTTTCCCGACACTTTTTCTACATTTGAGTAACAGTTATATTGCTTTACCAGTGATTCTTTTACAAGCGTACTTCCTAGTGATGTAGTATTGCCG